TGAACACAGGTAACTGGAAAATACTGCATGTTTCATAGGCCATGCCAAAATACACGTTCTTCGCAACGAAAGCATCCTGAACCTCAGGTTTCAATAGCGCGATGCTTGCCTATCAATATGAACATATTAACTGATTATATAACAATAGAAGTCGAACCACCGTTGTTCCATTTTCTAAGTCTCTGCGTCTATTCGGGTGTTTCTACTGTAAAATTTTCAGTTTACCCCCTCCCGTCCCTCAGGCATAAGCGGCGGAGCAGGGAATTTGACAGATGAGCAGCTGTGGAAAATGTGACAGCGGCTTCATGGTAAGAACCGGTCTTGCCGAAGCCCGAAAATTATCATTGACAAAATTTCATTTTTACTCATTGAGGAAATTTAAAGTGCTAGAAATGCAAAATGTGCAAATAACAGTACGCTGACATTGAAATAACAATGATAACACAGAACAACGTATAAAACGAAAAACACAGGTTTCACGTACAACACGGAGACTTCAAAGTCTTCGTTCTGAAGTTACGTGCTGTTGCGCCGATGCGACCCTCAAAGGAGCTTTCACAGAAAATTCGTTAGTCGACGTTCTAAACAATAATTGGAATTTGTCATGCGATCGCAAGTGGCCAATGATCGATCGCCAGATAGACTTGACTTTGCTTCTGTAGATATTCTGCGTTGATAATGTGATTATCGGATTTCCAACAGAGCCGAAAGGAAGCAAGCATAGAAAAACAGACATGACGATTTCCAGCGTTGGAGTGGTGCAGTGCTGCACCGCTTTCCTGCAAGAAGGATAAGCATATAGCTAACATAACATTCGAAACAGCATACACGACAAAATGAAGAGCATTTTTTAAAATGTTCTACGGAAATGGTCCACTATCAAAAGATGCTAATTTTTGAGATATGTGGCTACATGAGGAGGGAAGCCGATTATATTATGATATTGATTCCAATTAATGAGTCTAAATACTACTCAATGGAGCATTTGCGAATAACGACATGCAAGGCGTGGAAATAGATTATAGCTGCACGAATCGCTCAAGCGAATGCTTCAATACAGAGTCTAAACTGATGTGTGGAAGGAACAGAGTTCTAGAGAGTAATGCAAAACTGTCTGTCGTCAAGCCTGATCGTGCGTTTGCACATTTTAGGAGCGGTGTATGAAAGACCCCCATGTCCGCTG